GCGGCCCGGAAGCTCGCCGGCGCCAAGCCAGGCTGACGAGGAGACGCCATGCCACCGACTAGAGAGAAGGGTTATGGATTCAGCTATGGATGGCTTGTGCCAGAGCTGATACGGATGTCTTCGTCGGGGTCGTCGTCTTCGTCGTCGCCGCCGAGCCCGCCGCCGAGTCCTCTCTCCTCCTCCCTTCCCTTTCTCCTCCCTCCTCTCCTCCTCCTCCCTCCTCCTCTCTTCCCTTGCTCTTCCCTCCTCCTGCCTCGCTCCCTCTCCCTTCCCTTCCTCCTCTCCTCCCTTTCTTTCCTCCCTCTTTCCTGTTCTTTTTCCTTTTTTCCATCTTAAGAGGATGGACGACCCCCCACTCGACAACGAATCTTTTCAGATTCGTTGTCGAGCACCCTCCAAATAAATATACACACATCCAAACATTCCTTGATCTTTTTGTATATTTTCTGGAGTTTCGTCTTCCCTTCCACTTCCAGTATTTCCCCACATTTTCTTCAATCGAAACTTACATGTGTCTGTGTTTTTCCCTCCTGGCAAATCTCCGACAATCTGTTGTTTTCGATCCCGACGTATTTTCCGTCAGGTCCGAAGGCTATGAAAATTGGATCTGGGGCGACAGACAGCCCCCGGGGAAACGGTCGGGATCTCTGGTGCTGCGCATGGGACAAACATGTCGTCAGATAGCTTGGAGGCCGCTGCGGACATCCCTGAGTGGGCGCGGAATAATGCGCGCGCTGCCCAGCAGCGAGCGTTGTCCACAGATCCATAGCGGTCGGTGTTGGGCAGGGACGCGACAAAACTTCGAGGAGGGGCGGATGGGGATGCGGGAACCAAGATCCCACCAGCCCTTTGTGGCGTGAGCGGTTCAGCGAATCCACCTCCATTCCCCCTTCTTCTCCTTCGGGGAAGGGTTTGACACTGTTACCTATCTATAAACACACCCTCGCCCAGGCGACCGGCAGCCAACCAGGACCAATGCCAATGCCAATGAGGTTATGCTCGTGGGCCCAACGGGCGATTTGTATTGTTCCCAATCTTCGTGTGGTCTTGGGTCCTCGTTTTGAAGAGACGGCGACCCGCGTCCTTCACTCCGCCGCCTCCTCCTCCTCCTCCTCGTCTCGCTTCCCCCTCCCCCTCCTCCCTCGTCCCTGCGTTTCACCCACCCAGTACAGCATTTCGTGGCCCCACAGGGAGCTCCACCGAAGACCCCAGCGCCACCGCCCGCGTGCGTCCCCAAGACTCATTTCGGCACACCCTTCGCACGTTTCGTGGCCCCATAGGGAGCTCCACCGAAGGCCCCAGTGCCACCGCCCGCATGCGTCACCCACACCCACTGTGGCACACCCTTCGCACGTTTCGTGGCCCCATAGGGAGCACCACCGAAGGCCCCAGTGCCACCGCCCTCATGCGTCACCCATATCTATTTCGGCACACCCCTCACACGTTTCATGGCCCCACGGGGAGCTCCACCGAAAACCCCAGTGCCACCGCCCGCATGCGTCACCCACACTCATGTCGTCACACCCCTCACGCGTTTCGTGGCCCTATAAGCATCACCGCCGAAGGCCCCAGTGCCACCGCCCGCATGCGTCACCCACATCCATTTCGGCACACCCCTCACACGCTTCGTGGCCCCATAGGATGCTCCAGCGAAAGCCCCAGTGCCATCGCCCGCATGCGTCCCCCAGACTCATTTCGGCACACCCGTCACACGTTTCGTGGCCTCATAGGGAGCTCCACCGAAGGCCCCAGTGCCACCGCCCGCATGCGTCACCCACACCCACGTCGGCACACGGGTCACACGTTTCGTGGCCCCATAGGGAGCTCCACCGAAGGCCCCAGTGCCACCGCCCGCACACGTCACCCACACCCATTTCGGCACACCCATCACACGTTTGGAAGCACCATGGGGAGCTCCACCGAAAACCCCAGTGCCACCGCCCGCATGCGCCCGCCCGCACACGTCACCCACACCCATGTCAGCACACCCATTACACGCTTCGTGGCCCCATAAGGAGCACCACCGAAGGCCCCAATGCCACCGCCCTCATGCGTCACCCATATCTATTTCGGCACACCCCTCACACGTTTCGTGGCCCCACGGGGAGCTCCAACGAAGGTCCCGGTGCCATCGTCCGCATGCGTCACCCACGCCCATTCCGGCACACTCCTCACGCGTTTCGTGGCCTCATAGGGGCTCCACCGAAGGCCCCAGTGCCACCGCCCGCATGGCGCACCTCGCCCCATCGCGCACATGGGGTCTATACCGGTTCTCAATAGCTGCCCATCCATAGACGACTGCTGAACATGCTGAGGCCCGGATGCTACTCATGTGTTGGGAGGGCGGGTGGGCATGAGCGAGACAGCTTGCGGGCGGGGGGTCTTGACCCCTCCCCTACCTTCTCCCCCTGGACCTGGAGGGGGGGGTTGCAGGTCGTTGGAGCGGCCAAGATGGCAAGATGGCCTCTGCGAGAAGGCCAAAACCATTGATTCGACAGAGGTTTGGGCCACATGTTGACCTCCTAGGGAGGGGGGGGCCTAATTAAGGAGCTCCCTTTCTTTGATCGATCTCCTTCAAGATGGCCCCAACATGGCCCCCGAGGCTCCCAATTGTGCCCCAAACCAGCCCCAAGAGGTGCCCAGGACGCCCCGAGAGGTCCAAAGAGGCTCCAAAAATGCCCCCCAAAGGCTCCCAAGAGACCCCCAATGGGCCACAAGAGGCCCCAAGAGGCCCCCAAGGGGCACCCAACACGCCCAAAGAGGACCCCAGGACTGCCAAGAAACCCTCAAGACGCCCCATGAGGACTCCAAGAAGCTCCCCAAAAACATCCGAAGAGACTCCGAGAGGCATCCAGGAGGCCTCTGGCCTTTCTGCTCGCTCTCCTCCTTCTCCTCCTCCTCCTCCTCCTAATTATAAACCTACTCCTTTTGCTCCTCTTACTCATCCGCCTATTCCTTCTCCTCCTCCTACCTCCTCCCCCTCCTCCTTTCCCTACCCCTCCTCCTCCTCCTCTTCCTCCTCCTCCTCCTCTTCTTCCTCCTCCTCCTGCTCCTGATCCTGCTCCTCCTCTTCCTCCTCCTCTTCCTCCTCCATCGTCCCCATGTTGGGGTACGACGTCTCACCCAGCCCTTTCTTCCACTGCGCGCTCCTCCACATCGCTGATCAGAGCAGCTCGTCTGGGCATCATTTCTGGATGGGCCGGTGGGGCTTCGCGAAGCATCTAGAACTTCGAACCGAAGCCAGCTGTGCCGAGGAGGGCCTCCCACGAGGCCCCAAACAGGCGAAGACGAGGGAAAGGTAAGGTTATCGATACTCTTTTCCTCCTGCCAGAAAGGGAAGGCCAAGACTCGGGGTGCACCCTGACATCCGCAAATACAATCGGCCCGCATCAGAAGGATGCGCGATGGATGCAAAGGGCCTTGGACGGCCATGTCGAAGCTCTTCGAGCGGGGCGCGGCCAACGAAAATGGCCAGGGGTGGGCCGAGGAGGCAAGGATGCAAGGGTACCCTTGGGAAGGCTCCCAATCCCTACTATGCGGGTTGACCATATTATGTGCTCAACCCGCGTCACCACAAGTCCAGACCGCCGCCCCGTGGGTAAGTTCTCTCGCCCCGGGTCGATTTTTGGCGGAACTCTTTGAGGGGCCTGGAAGCCGAATTCCAGGAGAAGTGCCAGACCCTACAAGACCCAGATCTTCGGAGATCTGCCACGGCTGCCGAGATTCAGAAGCGTTTTTGTTGAGGCCTCTCAAATTGAATCCGAGTGGATGGGGTCGGAGGATGGCGCCGATACATCGCCGAGAACATCGCCGATGCATCGGTGCATCGGGGACGTCGGCGTGGAGAAAATTAGGTTCCTTATCGAGCCGCATCGCCAATCCATCGGCGATGCGGCGCACTCCTCCGACCCCATCTGCTGGGAGGCCTGGAATTTCGACTGTTCATGCAGGCGGGTTGCCGGAAATCTTCCGGCTGCTGAATGAGGGGCATTCTCAATCAGGAGCGGAGTCACTTTTTGGCCCCAAACGCGCCTGATTGGACGAGGGGTGCTAGAGACAACAATGGAAGGACCTGAAAAAACATCGAGCCCCTTTCCCGAACCCATACTGTTCCTTCTTCCAGCACGTTGTCGACTACGCGCAAGCGTGACCCTCGGTAAAAGTGATACTAGGTGCGCCTTTTTTGTGGCCGCGTGGGGGCCAAACACAAGCGCGCAATGCGCTACTACCGCATCGCGCTCGGCGATCGGGGGCCCAAATGGGCCCGCACCAGAAGGCCACCCCGGCGAAACATCACTCTACGTCCTAGATGCTCATTCTGGGGACCTTCTTGGAGCCACTCGCTCCCCTCGTGTGTCGAAGCTGCTCCGAACGTCCGTCGAACCTGAGTCGAACCTGCGTCGAACCTGAGTCGAACCCGAATCGAACCTGAGTCGAACTTGAGTCGAACATATCCGGTAGGTGGGCCCTAGAAAGGTCACCGAAACGAGCATCGAATCCATGAAGTCGATCTTGGCTGTACGCGTGGATGAATTCTTGAGCAGGGACCGACCGTCCTGGCATTCCTATGAGGCTTCCACGGCATGTTCTCAAAACCCAAATATTTTCCTCAAAACAGAAGCAGTGTTCTTAGAACATAACAAAACAGTCTCGGCCAGGCGTGTTCTAAGAACATATCGCGCAGACCACAACAGGTTCTTAGAATCTTATTTGAAGGGCCTATAGGCAAGCCAGGACCCTTCGCCACTGCTCGATGTACGCGTGGATGGATTCTGCCAGGAGGAGGACGAGGAGGAAGAGGAGGAAGAGGAGGAGGAGGAGGGAGAGGGAGGAGGACCTGAGGAAAAGGAGAAGGAGGAGGAGGGGGAGGAGAAAGAGGAGGAGGAGGAAGAGGAGGAGGAGCGGGAAGAGGAGGAGGAGGAGGAGGAGGAGGAGGTCACTAGTCGATCTTGGCTGCACGCGTGAAGGAACTCTGCCCGCTGGGCGCCCCCCAGGCGAGCCCGAGCCACGCGGCGGCGCAGGCCGCGCCGCCGGCGAGGAGCCGCCGCGCCGCCGGCGAGGAGCGGCGCCGGCCCGCGCCCGCGGGGCGGGCCGCCTGGGCAGACAGAGGGAGCCACGGGGCAGGCAGGCAGGCACACGGGCGCACACGCACAGGCGCACGCGCACGCGCACACACACACACACGCCACGCACGCACACGCACGCACGCACGCACGCACGCACGCACGCACGCACGCACGCACGCACGCACGCACGCACGCACGCACGCACGCACACACACACACACACACACACACACACGCACGCACGCACGCAACGCACGCACGCACGCACGCACGCACGCACGCACGCACACACACACACACACCCACACACCCACCCACCCACCCACGCACGCACGCACGCACGCACGCACGCACGCACGCACGCACGCACGCACGCACGCACACACATATACAAATACACACACATACACACTTTGTACGTCGGCGGCTAGGCAGGGTGACTGTGCTAGCGGAAGAGCAGCTCACACAAACAAGCGCAAACTGATGCGAGAGATATTCGAGTAAGTGAGGTCCAGAATCAAGGATCACCCAAACAACTGTTTTTTCACTGTCGCAACATCCCCGCTCGGTGAAGCCCGAGCTGACCTACTGCAGCTTGCACCGTGCTCGACGGTTTGAGCGCCTGTGGCCTAAACCAGGCCGAACCATCACAGCTACATGTATATCCATAGTTAGCTATGTTACAACATGTAGCTTCCCAAAACAATCAGGTTTCAGAAGTATGTAGTCTTTGCGACTCCGGCTCCCGCGGACCCCAGAAGCACCACTGGAATCACAAATCTTATAAGTCTTTCTCTGCTTGCACGACGGAGACAGCCAAGGCGGTGCGGTTACGCGCGCGAACAATGCCACGTAGACACCACACCACCGGGAACCAGGAAGAGAACCGGAGGAAACCAGAGCAGGACGAGGACCGGAGGAAAACCAGGAAGAGAGAGAGTCGGAGGCAACCGAGACCGAACAACACAAACACACAAGCACACAGCCCACCCAGAAATGACCACGAGGCAGACAAGATGTCTGATGCCCTGAAGGCATTCATCGCGTTCTACAGTTGCCTCGGGCTGGGTTGGGGCTGGCGCGGATGACTGGAACCGGCGACGCAAATGCCTGAAACCCATGAGGAGGAGTGGGACAGAGGCCATGGTGGAGGACTTTCCCGCCTTGGGAAACTGCGGGTCCTGGGGCCCTTCGGGATCTCTTCGACGGTCGGGCCGATAACAACAAACCACTGCAAGGCCCGCGCAGCAGCGCGCCGGACTCCTGTGGTCACGAGCGAGAAAGGGAAGGTGGGCAAAGTGCGAGAGAGGTTAAACAGAAATTTTCAAAAAGCGAGTCGCGTCTCACGCATTGCGAAGCACGACGAGGCGAAGAAGAACAGCGTGCCTACAAACGCACATGCCTGAAAGCAGAACTGGAACGACGGGAAACGCATAGGTTTGGGTGGGCCCTGGGGAGCAGCGGAGCTACGTGATGACCTAGATTCACTCGGGGGGTCAGCTGATGTAGTCGGATTGCCGCTGTCGGGATGTACACAGTTGGGCGGCGGCGCCTCCTGAAGCACTGCCTCCACTATCTGGCCCCCCTCGGACAGGTGCTGATAAGACTTCGCGCCGACCATCTGCATCGCGATGTCCTGGGCCATCTCCGCAGATGCACCGAGACGCCGGAGCTTGTCGGACCATTAGGCAATTGATTTGAGCCTGCCCACGCGGCTCCACCAATCACAAGAACTTAGCGGGCACTCGCCCTTCAGCTCCGCTGCTTCAGGCGCCTGCGCTGCTAAGGCGTGGTAGGAGACGGCCGTGCAAATCAGCATCAACTGTGGCTTTCGCGATCGGCGCTGGGCGCCTCGCACCAGGCGGCGCGGCCTGCGCGCCCACGGCCCCTGCTGCGCAAGATCGATGCTCTTGGAGAAATTCCCGCGCCATGTCGCCGACGGCCTGGGCGTCGGAGCTCATGTTGGAAATAGTGTTGTCGATGCTCGTAATCGCGCGCTGTTGCTCTGTCCAGGCGTCGCTGAGGCTCTGCATTCGACGACGCACCTGCTGGAACGCGAGCGCTGGCGCCGCTGGAATGGCAATCATACTTTTACACTCGTAAACCGATAGTTGTCATCCGCGCAATCGCAAACTATGACGCGGTTCCCAACCGAGTCAAGACGGCCAGCGCGCAACTTGCTCGCTCCTGGGCAACGCCCAGGGTCTGGGAGAGACTCGGGGCGTTTGCCCATGAGGACCCGTTCGCATCTCCAGGTTCCAGCCCACTGGCGCCGCCGATGAATGGCACCTGGTTGCGTCTGGGGAGCTTCAACGCGCTCAACCTCCGACAAATCAGCGGGCCCTAAAACGGCAAATTTCTCGCCCCCAGGCGCGCGGTGCGTCTGGCAATCCGAACTAGCCCATCGATGGCATCGAGCACATCGCGATTGGCTGGGCGAAGGTTCGCAGCCTGCCTCGCGCCAACGTCAGCGCGCGCGCCCCCCGCCCTCCGCCACCGCCCCCCGACTGGCCAGGCCAACCTCCTCGGCGCGCCTGCGAGCACAAACTTATTCTCGCGCGAGGAAGCAGCGGGGGGGGGGGGAACGCTGCAGATGCGCGCCAGAGCACATGCGTTTGTCCGACAGCATCTCGTCTCTCGGAAGAGCAGCCTGTTTGACCACATTGGCACAATCAGAAGAAGCGATGGAATGCTCGGGGACAGCTAGAAGGCGAGACCAGGCGCGGGCTGGAAATTCAACGCTTCGGGGCGTTTGCGGGCACGGGTCCCGAACAGGAGCGCGACACTCAGCAAGAAGCGAATCAGAGTCACTGACCATCGCAATGCACGAGACATCTCTACTAAATGCACGAATGGGATGTCTAGAACAAGACCCATCCATGAAAGGAGAACATCAAAGAAACTCAGCGGCGCCCCCCCCCCCCCCCCCCCGTCGGAGCGACCAGATCCTGAGCGGACCATCGTCTGCGCCCGCGCAAAGTTTCGGATAGGACTCGGCGGGGCGCGGGGAAGCTCCAGACGAATGCATGTGGGAACAGATCAACACTGGGCGCTTCAGCCTCCACCGCGCCTGCGCGCCTTCACGCTCAACCTCGGACTCTCTGACCTGCGCTGCATCGGCGGGGCAGATCCACGCCCGATGAAAAAACAATGTCGGTCTGCACGCAGAAAGGGCAGGCAACGCCGATCTGGTGCACCAACTGGAGCGCGCGCCCACGAGTGGGGGGCGCCTCAGTGGCAAGGGAGCGGATCCGACCTTCTCGAGGGGGGTAAGCTTCTTTCTGGTCAACGCTTCTTTTATGATGTCATAGCAAACCTGGTGCTTACGCCTGCGCTTGGCAGCCGAATCTCATTCCCACATGTCCATGGACGCCTCGCGACACAACCTTGACATGAAGGAGGGAGAGAAAATGCCCGAGGGAATCGAAAACCCTCGAACATTTCGAAGAGCCATGAAATCCGTCGCAACCCAACCGAGCCTGGAAACCGACGCACGCATGGCCTGCGCGGGCCCAGACACAGCGCGCCACGAGCAGGCTTCCAGGCCGAAGACGGCCGTCCAAGCGCGCCTGATCTCAGGGGGCCTAAGCGACCATTCATAAACGTGTCTGAGCAAACCGAATCCCACCAGCCCTTTAGGGCGTAGGTGGTCTAGAGCGTTTCCTCTGCCAACCCCCCTTCTTTCCCTTCGGGGAGGGGTTTACCCCTCCCCTTACCCCTCCCCACTGACCTGGACGAGGCGTCTCGCGAGGTGTCAGGGCGCCCAAGATGGCTCAAGACGGCTCCAAGAGCGAAAAAGCGAGAAAGCACAAAACATTGATTCTACCTAGGTTTTGGAAGGATTTTGGCCTCTTGGGGGGGCCCAAGAGGCGCTTCGAGGCACTCTAGAGGGGCAACCCTAATTGGAGCCCCCCCCTTCTTTGATAGATCTCCTCCAAGATGGCCCCAAGAGCGCCCCGAAGGCTCCCAAGAGCGCCCCAAGAGCGCCCCAAGAGGGCCCCGAGAGACCCCAAGAGGCCCCCAAGAAGCCTCTAAGAGGCTGCCAAGAGACCCCCAAGAGGCCCCAAGAGAGTTCAAGATGGCCCAAGACGGCTCCAAGAGCGAAAAGGCGAGAAAGCAACAAACAATGATTTTGCTTGGTTTTGGACGGATTTTGGCCTCTTGGGGGGCCCAAGAGGCGACTCGAGGCACTCTAGAGGGGCAACGCTAATTGGGGACCCCCTCTTCTTTGATCGATCTCCTCCAAGATGGCCCCAAGAGCGCCCCGAAGGCTCCCAAGAGCGCCCCAAGAGCGCCCCAAGAGCGCCCCAAGAGGCCCCAAGAGGCGCCCAAGAGGCCTCCAAAAGGCTCCCAAGAGACCTCCAAGAGGCCCAAGAGGCTCCCAAGACGGCCCAAGACGGCTCCAAGAGCGAAAAGGCGAGAAAACACAAAACATTGATTTTACCTAGGTTTTGGAAAGATTTTGGCCTCAAGAAGGGCCCAAGAAGCGATTCGAGGCACTCTAGAGGGGCAGCGCTAATTGAGGACCCCCCCTTCTTTGATAGATCTCCTCCAAGATGGCCCCAAGAGCGCCTCGAAAGCTCCCAAGAGCGCCCCAAGAGCGCCCCAAGAGCGCCCCAAGAGGCCCCAAGAGGCCCCCAAGAGGCCTCCAAGAGGCCTCCAAGAGACTCCCAAAAGGCCACAAGAAGCTCCCCGAGATACGCAAGAGGCCTCCGGGACCGCCAAGAGGCCCCAAAGACGGCCCAAGAGGCCCCCAAGCTCGCCATTGTCCTCCTCCTCCTCCTCTTTTTCTCCCTCCTCCCTCCTCCCCCTCCCCCTCCTCCGCCTCCTCCTTCTCCTCCTCCTCCTCCTCCTTCTCGTCCTCCTCGTCCTCGCCCTCCTCCATCTCCTCCTCCTCATCTTCCTCCTCCTCCTCCTCCTCCTCCTCCTCCCCCTCCTCCTCCTGCTCCTCCTCCTGCTCCTCGTCTTCCTCCTCCTACTCCGACGACGACGACTCCTCCTACATCCTCCCCCTCTTGGGGCGTATGGC